CTCGCTAAATTTTTCGGTCACAAAAACAGAAGGTTCAACTAAAAATCGAACTGATCGTTTTATAGACAGAAATTATTTCTTAAAATAAGTGCATTTACGGTTGAAAATCAAAATTTACATCAGAAAAAATGAGTTTCATGAAAAAACCTGCTTTCATAAATGAACAAAAAAGTGAAGTTTCAACTTTGAGGTCAATTTTCTCGAAAACTGTTGATCAGAGAAATTTTTTAATAGCACTAATGGACTCAGTTTTCATGCTCATACAAACTACTCTCAACTTGTTAGTCAAAGTTTTTATCTTTAGTCTTATAAAATCAAAATAATTAAATTAAATTAAAGAAGCAGAAGAGGAAAGTTTGTTATCTCAATGCGTCACTTTCAAAGTAAGAAAAGAGTCTGGCGCCATTCAGTCTAGTCTAACAGAAACTACTGACCAATTTACAATCGTAAATCGATCCATGGAACATCGTATTAGTAAAAAACTAATTCGCAAAGTGCCTTATTTTGACAGAATGTTGAGCCATGATCTATTGGAATCAAAGGAAAACAAAGTTAAACTGGATTTCGATGAACGAGCTCTCAAATTGATTCTTATTTCGTTGGAATTCGGTCTTATTTTCATTGAAATGGATAACGTAATAAATTTGTGCACCATTGCTGACTATTTTGGTGTCAACAATTATTTGATAGATGATTGTATAAGTCATTTTCATGACAACTTTTCAATTGAACATCTTCCTGTCGTCATACCACAAGTTACTGCAACCTCTAAGTTGATCAACTCTCGTGCTCTTAATGTTTTCATTCGTCGATACTTCACGAAAATAGTGAACACAACTGCTTGGTTGGATTATCCTATTGAGACCATTGAATTTGTTTGTGCGTTGGACCTTATGATTTACTCAGAAGTGCAGGTTTTCGATGCAATCATAAGATGGATCAAATTAAAGAAAAATCCTAGAAAGTCGTTTCTTAAAAGATTGTTAAAGTTAATCCGATGGTGCCACTTGAAATGTAAAGATTTGGCTGAAATAAAGAAAAATAAATACGTGAAATCTTTAAAATTTGAACCAAAATTATGTTCTCGTGACAAATCTGGTTGTGATTGCAGTATTGATCGAACTAAGCAGAACTTTTTTATTATCATTGATCAATTGGATGCTGCGAACTTGCGAGTCAAAGTACTTAACAGATATTTTGTGCCTCTTGTTAATAAAGTGGTTGAACCAGATGATTCAATGCCTTTACATCTTGTCCACAATGAACATGTGTCTGATATTTTTGATTCTGGAAGGAATATAATTCGAATTGATTGGAAGCAGAAAAAATATCGTCTACTTGACTATAAATCACATTATCGTAAAATTCATAAATGTCTTTTTGGAGATCAGAAAAGGTGAGTAATCTTTCCTCATTTCAATCGTTATGCCACAATCGATCTCTATCTGAATGTGATGAGCTCTACTTATTCTTTGCGTAAAACTTTCTGGACTTACAAGTTAGTTATTCCCTGTATATAATTATTTTATCATTTTCCCTTCGTACATTTCAGCGGAGCCCATTCCAAGATATTATTGCCTGTTGAAAGTTCCTGTTATGAAGATTGTTGGACTATAAATTCCCTTCTTGAAGCTAACGATAAGTTTATTTTGGTTCGTAGCCATGCAGATTGCTTCCAATGTTGGACAACACCAACTACCGAACAAATTGACTCTCACTTCATCGACTGTGGACACACAAGCCTGGCAACTGTTTTAAATGACAACATTTACTTACTAAAGCATAATTTTGAGTTCTACCAGATCAACGTTGATAGCAAGCCCAAACTTGGGTGGATGACTGTTGATAGGTTGAAAGATTTTAACTTTGGTAATTTACTTTTAACTTCCAGTCAAGCTAATGGTGATAAAGTTTTTATTATTGAAAAGACTACAAGAACCCTCTTTTGTTACAATGTAAAAACTGAAAAATGGAGTTCAATTGGTCGAATCAGTGATTGTGATAACAGATCTGCTGATCAAAGAGATCGATCTGATAGGCTGTTGACTTTCACCTCAACATTTATATCGATGGACACTATTGTATTGTAAACTTTTATTTTATAGATTATCAATATTCAGGTCATAAAGATTTCGTTAAGCCGTCAATGCTTTAATCCCAAGCCGATACCAGAAAACAGGCTTAGAAAAAATTGTCAAGTTCCTTAATCATCAGATTTTCGCGTTCTCACTTGAAGAAATTAGATTTAATTAACTTGCATCAACAAATCGAGTAGTACACTCGATACTGTAATTGTGAACATAAGCGAAGATGTAAACGATTTGTTCTAGAGTTGTTAATAATTAAGTTGATTAAAGATTTATCAACAGGTTGAGATATCAATTGATTAAAGTGAATCAATGTTCAGGCCAATTTAAAAATTGAACAGTTAAGTACACAGATTTATCTTCTTGTTTACATCTATTCGTTTATTCAACTAACAATTAAAAGCCAATTAGTAGAGGAAATCAAATTACAAGATTCTTCTATGATTCTCACAAATTCAGTTAGTATATGTAAAATAACTGCATCAAATGTACTAATGGTTGTTTGAGAGGTTTCAATCTCAATCATTTTTAATTAAGAAAACAATCATCTTTGAGTAAAGAAGAGTTATCAGTTTTCAAATCATGTTAAACAATTTTAACTGTTGAGAGTTTTTACTGAAGAGTGGGCGTAAAGTTAAAGAGCGATTTCAATTTTGCCTCTTTGTCTCTGAAAATACACTGGGTTAACTGCTTAACACAGAGTTAAGGATTAATTAACGGGAGATGGCGTTTTTTCAATTTTAAAATTTGAGGAAGTCCGAGGAAGTTTACAGGGTGTAACTAAAGTTCGTGTAGGAGGCAAAAAAATATTTCCCCCTGCGTAGAAACCAATTTTAATTTCCTTTGATTTCTCGTTTGAGAAACTGATTTCCTCACTTAAGCCCTCCTACCTACACGAACTTTAGTTACACCCTGTACCAGAGCCTGGTAACCAAACAGTCTGATCCAATCGTCTATCTGATAGACTCTATCACACTTACCATCTCTATATTGGTTTTGCACAGTAAGCTGTATTTCAAAAAAATTACAATTTTGTGTTTTAATTTAAATTTGTGCATAAACCATGGACGCAATGGAAACTGATGATCGACTTACAATCGTGAATCGATCCATGGAACATCGTATTAGTAAAAAACTGATTCGTGAAATACCTTATTTCGAAAAGATGTTAAGCCATGATCTATTGGAATCAAAAGCAAACAAAGTTACACTGGATTTCGATGAAAAAGCCTTCAAGTGGTTTCTCAATTGGATTGGATTCGGTAAAATCTTGATCGAGATGGATTTTGTAATAAATATGTGTGACATGGTCGACTATTTCGGAATGAGTGATTGTTTCATGGATGATTTCGTCAAATATTTTCATGATAATTTTTCAACTGAACATCTTCCCGTTATTATACGTCAAGTGACTCCAACAACTAAGTTGATCAATTCTGGCACTCTTAATGACTTCATCTGTCGTTATTTTTTAAAAATTGTAGAGACACCCGTTTGGTTAAAGTTTCCAATACAAACAATTGACTACATTTGCGGTTTGGATCTAATGATTAATTCAGAAATGCAAGTTTTCAATGCAATCATTAGATGGGTAAATTTTAAAGCTGATTCTAGAAAGGGCTGTCTCAAAGGATTGTTAAAGTCAGTTCGAAGGTGCCATTTGGAAGAAAAGGATTTATCTAAAATAGAGGAAAATGAAATTGTTAGATCTTGTGACTTTGAACCAGAATCATGCTCTCACAGTAAACCTGATTGTCATTGTAGTATCGACCGAACTAAACAGGGTTGTTTTGTCGTGGTTGAAGAATTGAATGAAACAGATTTGCAAGTCCAACTACTTGACAGGAATTTTCTGGCTATAACTAGTCGAGTAATTCAACCAGATGAATTGATGCCTCTGTTTGTTCTTCATGATGAGCACATTTCTGATATTTCATTTGATTCTGGAAGGCAAATGATAAGAATCGATTGGAGTCGGAATAAATATCGGTTGTTTGATCATTCCGCCTGGAAATCGCATTGTCTTAAAATGATTAGATGCATTTTTGAAGAGCAAGAAAGGTGAGTAATCGATTCTGCAAATTAACACATTTGCCTTTTTAGAAGGTAAATTAAAGTTTGGAAATCAAAAATTATAAATGTCTTTATTGATGCATATTGTTTCTATGAAGGTTCACTGCCTAAAACTCACGATAAGCTCGCTTCAAATGATAAATACTTTTAATAATATGATAGTTATTTGTAAACCATTTTTTTACATTTCAGTGAAAGTTGCTCTGTGCAGATTTGGTATCAACCATCGCACATGCTGAATAACAATTATGAATGTTCACTTCTCGAAGCTACCGAAAAGTTCATTCTTGTTCGTAATGAGGAATTCAGGTTCAGATGTTGGAAGAATCCATCCATTACGAATATAAATTCTGAATTCAAATGCGATGAACATACTTACCTGGTAACTATTTTGGATAACAGTATTTATATGCTGAAAAATAGTCTTGAATTTTTCCAGTTCAACATTGACCGTAATCTCGAGTTTAGAAAGATACCACTTCAGAAGATTCGTGATAAATTGAATTTCAATAATTTACTTTTAACATCCAAGCAAGCTGGTGATGATGAAGTTATTTTGATTGATAAATGCACAAAAGATGTTTTCTGTTTCAATGTCACCACTCAAGAATGGAAATCAATGGGTCGAATCATCGATTGTAAAAGCAAATCTGTGGATGGCCAAAAGAAATCTAATGTCCTTAAAACTTTTACCTTTGGATTTATATCATTGAACACCATCAACCTTTGCTCGATGCGTAAATTAACACAATAAAGTAAAGCTATTTAAATACAATCGTTCATAAATGGTTACACTGTGCATCATAGTTAACTTTGTCAACTGACGAACCAGAGCACTCCACCTTGGCTCCACTTCAGT